CACTTTTGCCATGACATGGTCTGTGTTCAAGTACAGAAGCAGAAGGCATGAAAGCCTGGGCCTACATACCAATGCGGATGCATAAGAAAAGATGGTGCGTTCCATGAGGATTCCTTTTTGAGTCCTTGTCAGGAAGCATTTTGAATCATATTGAGTTTTGTTGCACAAAAATGCCAGGTTTTGGAGCGTTCTGAGTTTGGGCGCTGGTAGATGCCATTTATGCGGCATTGTGTGTGTAAACCTCAACTAACTTGACAGCACCAGCAAGTGCATTTTTATATACTTTCGGACAGACATGCAACCAATTCTCTGGGCATGATTGACCATGTCCTTGGGGCCTTCAAGGCTCAGCTGTGCAGATGCAAAAAGATGGTGCACACCTAGGTCTGCTGCAGAATATTTCTTACTGGAACTCCGGCCGCGCATATGCACCATAAACCGAAAAGCCTCGCACCATAATTTTCAAAACGGTGTACTGTATATATTGCTACGCAACCCAATGGTCAACAACATCTCCCAACGTTGGCCCACACACACTTAGATAATGCGTTTGCAGTTACATCTGTTCCACGCTTAAAGGAATGACTCAACGGCAAGGTGAAGCGTCCGAAAACGTGAAGGTGTTTCAAACCTTGTTGATGCGCATCTGCAGTGACTCAGCGGCAGCTCACGAACGGTGGAAAGCGGCCGTGGGAAATGTGTTGGGGTCTATCATGAAAACAACCATGGCAGCAAACCAAAGGAGTGGACAGCGTGATCAACAGTTTCTTGGCAGGTACACGGTCAGACGTTTCTGACCGCATCCCATGACATCGCTAGCTTCGTTGGCCAGCGTCGTGATGTCATGCGCTGGCCCCCTGCAAGCAACCGAGTTGTTAGGTGGAAAAACTCTTAGTAGCAGAGGGTGACACACACACCTGTTGATTTCCCTTTGAGCTTTGATTGGTAAGCTTTAATTAGCCACACCCGCATGGCCCCGCCCTTGACCATGCACGGACTGCTAGGTGCAACAGCTTGGCTGGAGGAAATGGCTGCAGCCCCAGGGCAGGTTGCTGCAGTTGTCGAGCGTGAAAATCAAAATGCAGTTCTTCTTCGTCAAGAAAATAACTTGGGATCGGCTCTGTTTGCAGGTGCCAGGTCACGGGTAATCACAGGTTTGTGTCCAAAAGCACCCCTCGCTGGCCACAACGCTCCAAACCCAGTTCTTTGAGGTCGCAGCACTTGGTGATGCACCTGTCGAGGCGTACAACACCGTCATCAGGACTGGACCGTGAGCGGGAGCGAACCTGGACTGTCCAGACTCAGACCGAAGAAGAAACGAACGGGGGGCCGCCGGACCCTTTTTCCACAGTGACGTGTCTGATATTGCTGGAAACACATTAATGTATTACAGTTTTACAGTTACACATGAAACAATGTTGTACATCCTGGGTTTCCTGAGCGTTTTCAATATGCTTGGCTGCTTTGTCGTTCAGAGTTGGTGGTTTGGAGTTTGGAGGTGTAGGATTTGGTCGATCAGTTCTGGCTCTACACTTGGAGACATCATGGACAACAATGCTTCAGGGATTGGATGGAATTGACGACCGCATTTCACTAAAAAGGAAGACAACAATAATATATATATAGTGGTAATCTTAATGTAATCTTAATATTATAGGATATTGTAGGGCTTCGACTGGCGCCCACACGTTGTGAAGCCGATGTTTCTTTTTGCTGAAAAAGGAATCAGGGAAATCTCCCATTTGCTGCTGTTGCGTCAAGAACAAGCCTTATCTTGTTTTTACTGAGCACTGTATATGTGGAAACAACTGCTTGCTTGTTGCTTTCTTGGCCGTGGAGCATCAAAATTGCCTGGGAAGTGACCAAGACAGTTCAACCTCAGAGTGGATGGCACCACCGCCCCCGGTTCGTTTGCTGGGTTTCAGGCTGGAAGCAACGCCACCGGATCATAACCCGTTGCCGGGTGGCCCACCATCAGCAACGGGTCGCCCTCCAAACGCCCTCCGGGTCGCCCAGGAGCTATGCGGAGGCTGGGTTGCAGGGTACAGATGTGGAGAGGCTGTGTGGAAACAGAGGCTGATAGACACACATGTATACTTCTCGCTTGCCGGCTAAATTATGGCGCGCACTGGCCAGCTTCTGGTGGCCAAAACAAGTCATGGTTATTCATTGGTTTCAAGGGAGATTGTCATGTCCTGCGTGAGTTTGCTGTTCAAGAAGTGGCCATCATTCCAAATCATTGTTTCAGATAATACAGATATGATATGATCGATGACTATTGATCTAGAGTCATTCATCGGAAACTATGAGGATTGCTTGCCTGTCATAAGATGCACTGGCCTGTTTGTGACGTTTTTTTTTTGTTGGCCAGGCCGGTGACATGGAGGCCGCCAACCGGTGGCTTGCAAGGCGGGATGCACGCTTGCACTTGTTGTTGACGCCGCCCCGCCGCCCCGCACACAGGCTACAGGCCTCCAGCACGGAGCCCACAGAGGCTTCGTACGAAGCGGCCGGGAGGCCAAGAGCTCGTGGAGCCCCAAACCAGAACCACCCCACACGGCATACATGGAGTGTTTGAGTAGGGGTATGGTGTTGTTTGTTAGTTATTGAAAGAACGCCCTCGTTTTGAGGCGCACTCAAAGCGATAAGATATACGCATGGGGTTCGTTGTTATATAGCCGCTGGTGGGGGTAATGTTCAGACTTCTCCCCATGCCATTGTTGCCACATCAAATAACTGTGTTGCGATGGATTCCATGGCATGGAGGATCTTTGTTTGCTTTGGAGGGAGCGTAATTACAGATTAGGACAAAAAGAACACCTCCTCAACCGGTTGTTGTAAATCACCTTTTTTTCATTTTCTTGGCCATGAAAGGACAAGGTGGTAAAGATTGAACATGTTTGGTGTCATCCCTTCCCGACTAGTTGGAGTTCATACTTCAGAAACTGTTTGCACGGGATGAAGATTTCACTGCGAAACACACGCACCCACACACAGACGATTCAACAAGGTACTTTTTTCAGTCAAGACAGGTCCAACAAGATCACATTTGTCACAAGAATGTCCCGATCTAGCATGCACTGACATTCTTAATCGAGGCTTGTCCGAGCATCTGAAGATGACACTGCATCCAGGTCAACCCACACCTGCTTCAGTGCCGCCAAAGCGATCTGATATGTCAAAGCAGATTGGTCCTGCCAGCCTGCAAGATACCGCGCATGAAAGATAAGGCCAGAATCAAGATCCCAGGGTTCTCATCAAGCGGTCAGCAACATCCTGCACTCAGGGTGGTAATGGTGATAATTATATACAAGACCTTTGACGACTTGTCCTTCAACGGCAGCCCCCGGTACTCCGTCACTTCAGAAAGGATTCCCAAAACAAAACAAATATGAACACCACCACAAACGCAAACAAAACCGCAGCGAAAGGATGACTAGAACAACTGGAGACCCAATCGACTGTCATGATCCGCCCTACTACAAAAACCAGGCGTTCGAATGACTTCTTTGGCACCATCTCCTCCTCCCAGTATCCTTGCCCCGTATCAATCCATCTCCTCCCGGGTCAGGGCCCGGCTGTTCTGAAGAGGTCCTGGAGGCATATGCCTCAAAGGGCGATGTTGCCAAGGCCCAGGAGATCTGGAAGGACCGTCGAGACGAGTCGAGACGAGTTCACGTCAGGTCGGTTTGGCAACACAGAACCATAGTATGCGGGGAGGAGCACTCAGCACTCAGACTGTGCTGGTCCTATGTGGTCCTCGTCTTTTTCTGGGTGAGGGTGAAAGTCTGGGGGGTGAGGGTCTTCCTGTAGACCAACATTTGACATACGAGTTTCACTCGGGTAATCTGCTCCGCTCGCCCGGTGAATCTGCTCCCTTTGCTCGCGCCACCTGATGCAGACGGTGGATTCATCCAACCCCCAAGACTGAAGCGGCTGTACAATCCAACTAGGGGCGGATGAAGAGTATCGGTTTCCCAAAAGGCTCCTATGCTCTTGGCCTGGTTTGAACCTTACCAACGAGCAGATGTCCTGTGCAAACCGTACCCCAAGTCTGTTCTCTTCACGACCAACGAAGAATCACACAATGTCACGTTGGACCTAGTCACTAGTCGTTTGGGGGTTCGCTGAAATTAGTGGCTTGGGGGTTGGTGCTTATGCAGTTTAATCATTCCAGAGCCAAAATAATAAGGCTTGAGCTGAGATTGTTCCTCTGGTGGAATTTTGTATTCTTGTATGACAACAACTCTGGCGCTACCCTCACCACAGGCCTCTATTGACATTAATGTCCCGTTTGTTCAGCTGCATGCTCACTCTACATACCATGATTTCTGAACCTGGCATCCCCAAAAACACCAAATCATCATTCTCACTTCCGAAACACACAGAATCTAGAAAACACATGAAAACATCCAACGCGTTGCTAGGTACCCGTTTTTGTAAGTCAGAGTTCAATATGCTCACGAAAAACACTGCCATGGACGGTGTCTTAGGAGACCAGCCAAAAAACACATGTGTGTGTGTGTGATGGTTTTTGCAGCCCTGCTCCAAATCATTTGCTATTTGCGGCCTTTGATTTGCCTTTTTCATGTTGAGACCGCACGTGCTCCAGCATGTTGAATGATAATGGCACGAGCCTTGGGAAGACTGCTCAAGAAGCACACCAAAAATAGCCTCGGAGTTGGAGCTGGGCACACAGCAGGTAGCAGCGAGATTTAACGCACAATGCGCGTGAGCTGACCCAAGCACTGTAACATTCTGCGTGGCTGCGCGGTTCCTACGTATCAGTGTTTGTGTGTGACATGCACAGAAGGAAACACACAGAAGGCGGATGCCCAGTCTAACATATAAGAGAAGAAACACGCGTCACATGATGAACGAAAACGCATCCTCTTCAGAATCCTGTTGGATTGAACACGTCGTACACTCTCATCTCCTAAAAACCGATGCCAGGAGCTCGCCGCTGCGCCCAGCAACGAGGCCTCTTGCTCCATGCTCCGCACGTTCTGCGTGGCCAAAGATGCCGAGCAGGTGGAGGCCGACCGACGCTCGTTCGAAGCAGAAGCGCCGGTCGTGTCGGAAAAGGCGCGGGAGTCTTCAGGAGCAATGCGGGGGGCGACTTGTGTTGACAGAAGAACTATGAAGAAACAGACCAGAAAAAAGTATGAAAACGATTGAACAAAACCACATTGTTGAAAATAGCTAAAGCTGGAATGATGTTCATTTGCTCTAAGAATCTTTAGGTGTGTCCACTGTAACAGGGAACTATGCATCACATATCATGTCATTTTACATTTTTTTGTCCGGAATATTAGATCAACATATTTATTTTAATCAATACAACCGAATTAATGAAAAGGCGACCGTGTTATAGTTGGTGTACCACGCTTCCAACTGTAAAATATTGGTAGATCACTACTAGTACTATTTGTTGCGCCTTGCGCCAACTTATGTGCCCCAAAACTGGCTTTTCAGTGCTGTGAGCAACGATGTGATGTTGAAGCCAAACAACACATGAAACCCATTGGTAAAGCAGGTCCCAGGGTTTTCACATACTGGTTTGTTGGTTTGTTTCCTGTTCCTGTGTTCTTCCCATAGAATTATACATATCTAAATCTATATGGACTATAAGTAGACTATAAGTGGAATAAGCCCCTTTAACTCTTTGAGAGGTTTCAACTCCAGATTCTTTTGGTCATTTTCGCAAGCACAATTCGTCTTGATTGAGCGCCATAGTCGTGGCCCTCCTCTCCGTGTGCTGCAGGCGTTTCTGGAGCGTTTGGAATGGGAGGGTGTGCAGCTGAACCAGCGAACTTACCTGGAGCTTGTCAGGCGACCTCGTTCCAGCGATGATGGGAAGCTGAAGGGATTGTTCGAAACTTAATTAGATTGACATGGTTGGACCATAGAGTTAGGACCAGGTATTGAAGCAAGACTTGAAGTGATATTAGGCACATTTGTGGTCTTGTGGCACGGCTGGTAGCCCAAGGAAAAGGATGTAAGTCCAAGAACCCGCTCATGTCGGAGTGACTTAAAACGCTACCTCCTGCTCATCGCAGAGGTTGCTACTAGACATGAGAAGCCTAGCAATCAAGAAATAAAACTTGTATGAGTTGTATGGTAGTAAAACACACTGTGCTGGGAACACAAGAAAAAACCGACAGTTGCTCTTGCTTGCACGGTTGGTTGGTAGTCGAGGGTGTCGTGGTGAGGTTCACTTTGAAGGTAGGTTACTGTTACTCTTCGTCCACAGTTAGTAGTAATAGTAATAGCAATAGTGATTGTAAGTGTGATAGTAGTAATTGCATGTAATTGCAGTATTTGTTGATCCCCGAAATGGGAGAGGTTTTAGAAGCCCCATCGAAATAGCGCGACCACAATTTCATTGAAGAAAAGAGTGGGCAACAACAAAAGATCAATAACCTTGGGTATTTTGTCAGAGGCAAACGGAAGGGTAGTACACAGAAAGAGCTTTGCAAAAACCTATTCTACTAACATCGTGGAAGGCGCGGGACATTCGTTTAACCCGGGGCTATTCGTGGACGTTTCGTGGAATGGTGGGCCAGTAGGAAAACTGACTGCAACAAAATCCCAGAAACCTTCGTAGAACTTTGCAGAAGCTATTTTTGATGCACTAACTTCGTATAAGCGATTTGGGCTGACCCCCTTCTCCACACACGCTTCATTTTGAGGCCCCTTCTAAGTTGTAAAGCAAGTTCATCACCATTCCAAACAGTTGTTACATATCCCAAGCAATCTTCAAAACAAGATTCAAAAAAATGTTAACCAGTTCAAAAGCTCTCAAAAAATTGTTGAACAGTTCGAACAATTTTCGGCACAATTGTCAATCAAGTGTACAATATTTAACAATTTAAACAACGTTAGAACAATTTTGAATAATGCTAGCTGCTAAACAACTTAAACAACTTTAGAATAGATTTAGAGCAATGTTCAATCAATTGTTCAACAATTTAAACAATTTAGGGACAATTTTCAATCAATTGTTAAACAGCTTAAACAATGTTGAACAATTTTCTAACAACTGTTCAACAATGCAAACAATTTTTGAACAGTTTTCAATCAACTGTTCAACAATTGTTAAACAATGTAAAACAATTTTATAACAATTGTAGAATTTTCAAAACAACTGTCGAAACAATGTTTAATGTTCAAAACAATGTTTGGGACCTTACCGTGCTTGCAGGAATTGCAGAGGCTTTAATACCGTTCAATGTGTGAGTAATTTTATGTGGGCAAGAACCTGAGCTACCTCGATCTGGAAATTCTTGGCCGCTCAACTGGCGATCACCAGAAGCAAAACGAGACAGTCCGGTCTTTGGCATTTCGTGGGCAGAATTTGCAGTGCTTTTCATGTTCTATGGCGTGAGTCTCCCCGTTAAAACTGTCCATGAATGAATGCGGCGGCATTGAATTACTACGGATAGCCGACTCCCTGATATAGTCATCCTACCCCCAACAAACGAGCAGTGCGGTGACAATCCAAAAACATTCACATTCGCGCAGACACCTTTGATCCCCGAGTATAGGCGGCCGGCATGTTTGGTTCTGGAAGCACCATGCAGACAATTTGGAAACACATTTTGGAACAGAAACACGAGTTCGTAGCCGGCTTCCTTCGATGATTTCAGCAGTTCGTGAGTGTTTGCAGGATATATTTGGGCTACCGTCAGCAATACGACACCTGGTCCGTGCTTTGCATCAACAGTTCATGCCTGGTCTTTGCAACCCTTGCTTTAATTTGTCGCATACATGTTTTTTGCTTCATATTACTGACGCACCACACAGTGTCGTACGTGCCCATTCTGTTCATTCCTAGCTCCGTACCCCCGCAGCCGGGCAGCCAGGGGCAGCGCTAGGAGACCCAACAAGTCGACTGGTAGGGTTTCGGAGACCCAGCGAGTCAACTTCCCCTGTTCAAAGGTGAAACTTAGAAGCTTCCAAGAGTTTTTCTGCTTGCCTCATAGTGTGGCTTGCCCCTTTCTAGGACTGAATATGACGCTTTGTGGAGCACAAAAGAGATCAAAAGAGATATATATTTGTATATATATATATACAGTTACATACAAGAGTCAAACCCGACATTAGATTTGCAGAGCTGAAATGGCAAACACGACCAGTCGTTGTGGTTGTGGTGATTCTTCCTGACTTTGGAACCTTCCAGCAAGCGAACTAGGTGTTGTTCCTAGGAAGAGTGTGTCTAGTCTAGGATGTCTGTGTGATCATATGGCCATGAGTCAAAACGTTTTGGTATGGAACATGTACTCTTGAACATCTCGTTCCATACCCCGTTCCATACCTCTGGAACAGCATGTTTGTTCGCCGTTCCATACCCATCGTTCCATACCTATGGATTACTATATTACAATTGTTCGAGGTTCAATCAAAACGTGCGCTTTGCTTGCTGAAATACATTTACCGTGAGAAACGGGACTGAGATCACACGTCAGGTTTTTTTGGTACAATTTGTTCCATACCCCCGTTCCATACCTGTTCCATACCTTATGGAACAAGGGATCCGTTCCATACCCTATGGAACAGGAAGGTGCGCGATGTTCACCTGAGACCCGGGGTTTTGACGCACACCCATATACAATATGGTACAATGTGTAAGGATATGTATATAATTGATTATAACTGTATATATAATATATGACAATATCCTGTTTTGCTGGTATGACCTGCAGTACTGATGGGCTGAAGCCCACACAAGTTCCCTTTGTTGCCGTGGTTCGATAAGCGGCTTCGCAGGTTTTACATTCACCAGGGCAGCTTGGAGAAAGCGTCCGGGACACCGAGAGGGCTTAGAAGGTGGGGCAGAAGGTGGGCCACCGGCGATGGGTCCAATGAACTGATGAATCGGGGATCACCAGTGTAGGGATTTTTGTCGAACCTGATACCGGTCATATTTCGCTTGTTCTGTGCTTTCTATGCCCTATCAAAGCTTGCGGTCTGGTGGATTCTACGGTCCTACAAGAACAAACGTATTTTGCAATGCATCATTTCCAGCAAGCATCATATTGTTTCATCTCTTAAAATCTCAAGACTTGTGCTTGGGCTCTTTGAGCAGAGGACTTGCGTTCGGGGCCGATGTGTTGTTCCTAGTCTTGGTTTCTTGGGGAGTGCCAAACATCATGGAAGGCGACACTTGAGATGTCATGTATGCGTATCTAAGTGTATCATTCTATATATTTCTATATTAATACTTGGTAAAATAGTAACTGTACAAGCACCAGAGATCTCAGGCTGCTCCTTCGCTCACAAATCCCAGGTTGATCCTTTCAGAAGAGATGGCCATGGGTGAAGTTGAGACCGGATCCCGTGACTGCGCTCAGCATCAAGACCGACGAATCGAGACCAGATGCCAAATCGATTGGATGCCAGTCTGTTCGATGTATCACGTGAAAACTTCTCCAGTGGATGGCCAACCTGATGTTGATCTCCCTTAGCATAGCAATAACTGGGATATACTGGGATGTTTGATTTGTTCACCCGATGGTTTGACCCTTTTCATTGGATGGTTCACCTCATGTTTACATCTCGAAGCATCCAGATGTTTGGAGCATGTCATCGGTTTTTGCCACCCCTGCTTTATTATTGGCCTTTGGAAAATCACGCCCCCCACCGTGATTGACAGCTCCGGCCTGGGTGGATTGGTCCGCGATGCTTTCTCGCAGGTGCCTGGGTGGAACAGCTACAGGCAAGGGGACCCATGGGGACGGGACAAGCCAAAGGGAAGCATCCAAGACGATAGTGACCCAAAGCTACTTGAGAGAATCGCTGGTTCATGATTGTTCTGTTTTTTTTGGTCACTTTTGTCATGTACTTGGGGGGACACTGTTTGTTGATTGATAACCACACAGCCCAAGTTGCGCTCAAAAGCTCTTTGCTTTTGGTAAAGAAAGGTACATAATATTGGTACGTACTTCACATACATATATACCAGGGTTGGGACCGCCTGCCTGCTCCACACCCCTTGGATTTGCAAAAGCAGAACGGGCAGTGGCTGCACACGCCTCTACAGATTCGCGATGTCCAACACTCGTCCCTTTGTTTGCTTCTCCTTCTGCTTCCACATGCTGACTCCATTTTGTGAAAAACTGTGGGAGCATCAGTCGCAGCCACTGCGAGGCTGCACATGAGCGACAGGACCGCGGGCATGCTGAGAAGGCCAGGACGGCGTGCGTGTGTCTCTCCTTCTTTCCCGTGTGGCTGCTGTTGCAAACACATTTCTGTTGACGTTTCTGTCCTGTGTGTAAAATCCAAGAAGGTGTGTGTGTGTGTGTCCACCCCTGGGCCAAGGGTTTCCTACCACCACTTCAAC